GGGGTTGCTCTGGATGATCCCTAGAGGTTCCATCCGACCTCAACCGTTCTGGGATTCTGTGAATCCCATAGCCCTGGCAGCCACCCCCTTCAGCCTGTGAGTGGATCAGGGAGAGACCTTTTCCCCTAGTGGGTGTCAGGGTGTCACTGCTGGCCATTGGGATGGCCCTGGGGGGACCAGGCTGGGAGCTCTTTCTGTGCACTCTTGGGCTTTCCTGTGTTCTTTTGTGTGGTGGGAGACTGTTTTTTATCACAGATGCCATGTAATAAGGATCACCCACCTCTGTGCCTCATCCGTTACGTGCCAGTGTCCGGGCTCTCGTGCTAGGCTCCCTGCTCTCAGCCTGTCTCTCACTGGTGCCACCACCCTCCGTTTGTCCTGGCAGGTGAGGAACGAGTTCTACAAGGACACACAGGGGGTCATCCTGGTCTACGACGTGGGACAGAAGGATTCCTTCGACGCGCTGGATGCGTGGCTGGCCGAGATGAAGCAGGAGCTGGGGCCCCACGGGAACATGGAGAACGTCGTCTTCGTCGTCTGTGCCAACAAGGTGGGCCGTGCCCAGGAGCTTGGCTCTCAATAACCCCCTATGCTCATGCTGTGCCCAAGCTATTGAGCTGCAGCAAAAGAAGGTGGCAAGGGAGGTTCCTAAGAGCCACATCTGTGTTTGAGGAGGCCTTGGAGACCACATCTCAGCAGGATTTTGAGAACACTGTAGCCATGCAGGAATGGGAACAGGAATCCAAGAGATCCACCAAAGCTACCCCTGGACTAGAGGGGCTTTCCAAGGGCTTTTTGCCTGTATCTTCTGTGCTTTCACTCCATGCTCCTGGCCCTGCAGCCCTGGCTGTGCTCTCACCTCTGTTTTATCCCGTCCAGATCGACTGCACCAAGCACCGCAGCGTGGACGAGAGCGAGGGGCGGCTCTGGGCGGAAAGCCGGGGCTTTCTGTACTTTGAGACTTCAGCACAGACAGGAGAAGGGATCAACGAGATGTTCCAGGTAACTAGGAATTAAGGGGATGAGGGAACAGACACGGTGCTGAGCATGCGCTTGATGGTAGAACATCCTCTGAACTAACTGCATCCCACAAATTGGTCTCAAAGGTGCCTTCGCAATGAAACAGCACCCTGAGACAGTGCAATTTTTTAGCTCAAAGTTAGTGCTAGTCCCCCTAGTCGCGAGGTGGCCCTGGTATCGTGTGATCCCTGATGATCCCTCCCGCTCCGCTGGGAATGCAGTGCAGAGATGCCCACCCCACCCCTTCAAGTCCAGCCCTGAGCTGGAGGGGATGTGAGACGAGCACAGAGCAGCTTGGGGGTGGTCTGGCTTCTTCCTCAGCCTGTCCCGTGGTCCCAGCATGGACCAGAGCTCCCCTTTCCCTGGGTGTCCCACACCCCATGGCCCCACGTGCCAGGGAACGGCCGTGCAGCACTTGTGCAAACGCTCCCTCTTGTGTCCCACGAGGAGCCAGCAGTCAGGGCCTCGGGGCACCCTCTCTGCTTTTGTGCTGCCTCCTCCTCCATCCTCCCCTGCATCCACAGACCTTCTACTCGGCCATCGTGGACCTGTGCGACAACGGCGGGAAGCGGCCGCCGTCCAGCGTCGGCGTTGGCTTCACCAAGGAGCAGGCGGACGCCATCCGCAGGATCCGCAACAGCAAGGACAGCTGGGACATGCTGGGCGTCAAACCCGGAGCCACAAGGTGAGGGGGTCTGCAGCGTTCGCCCCGGTATCCAGAAACTCTCTGCTCCTGCAGCCGCGGGCCGGTTGCAGCTGGGATTTTTCAGCACGCTGAGAAAGACGCCTTGGTTTATCCCTCAGCCAGGCACAAGCTGTTTGTACCTAACCACAAAGCTGAGGCAATTCGAAAGAAACCCTCTGTCCAGAGCACCATGTTTCCCCTTTTAGCAGAGCTGCCAGATTTAGGGCAAGGGGGAAGTGAGGAACTTGAGATTTTCCGCCTTGCCAGCTGCCCAGCTTCGTGCCTCTCCTCCAGGCTGAGCCACCTCTGTTCCCTCTGTGCCAGATGTGCTGAGAGCAGCTCTGTCCTCCTTGTCTCCGCATCTGGAGAAGCTTTTAGGCTGCTGCCCACGATACCCAGAATGGATTGGCATTACAGTTCTTCCACTTGGAAACAGTATTCCCACAAGAGGAGCTTTCCCTTGGCTTCCTCAGAGGGCCGTTAGCCAGGTGGAATTGGTCATTGCCTGGGTAAGAGGTTGGGATCTCCCAGTTCTGCTGCGTGACTTGGGCAGCTGAAACAACCCCCCAAAGTTTTACCCCTCTTCGGAGCCTCTGAAACACGAGGACCAGATCTTTGGGTAAGCCACATGGTTCAGGATTCGCGCATCCGTCCTTGCGGCGGGGCGGCGGTTCCCCCCCCTGCCACCACCTTCCTCCTCTGCCAGCGCCGGGGACGCTGCGTGCAGGGCACGTGTCACCAGCACGTGACACCCTCGGTGCCTCCCCGTGCACGGCACTTCCACTCTTTCTCCAAAAGCCCCAGCGAGGGAATGGCTCAAAAGCACCAGCACGAGTTCCTGGCCCCGCTCTGCTCTCGCAGGCAGGACGAGGCTGGGCTGCGTGGGTGTCACTGTCCCCTTGTCTCCTAGGGATGAAGTGAACAAAGCCTACAGGAAGCTGGCCGTGCTGCTGCACCCCGACAAGTGCGTGGCGCCGGGCAGCGAGGACGCCTTCAAAGCGGTGGTGAACGCCCGCACCGCGCTCCTCAAGAACATCAAGTAGGGCAGAGGAGCTGCCTGGAGCCCGACGCCTTCCCCTCCTCCCCGCCAGCTGTCCCCTTGTCTCCTAGGGATGAAGTGAACAAAGCCTACAGGAAGCTGGCCGTGCTGCTGCACCCCGACAAGTGCGTGGCGCCGGGCAGCGAGGACGCCTTCAAAGCGGTGGTGAACGCCCGCACCGCGCTCCTCAAGAACATCAAGTAGGGCAGAGGAGCTGCCTGGAGCCCGACGCCTTCCCCTCCTCCCCGCCAGCTCCCTCCTCCTCCGCGCTCCTGCTGCCACGGACGTGGCTGCTCCGGGCGGCCGCCCTGCCCCCTGAGGC